CTCAAGAACTCGTCGGCGACAACGCGTTACATCATGTGACCTCATAAAATATCTTTTTGATCTTTATGTCGGACACAACAACTGGCTTTGCATGTATTACCGAAAGCTGTGTGCAAATACCAGCCTCCAACACATCGAGAAAGAAAAGCAAGAACTGGGATTGTATGCCACAAAAAAGATTCGAGCCCCTTCAAAACATAGAGTGGCACAAATGACTTCCAAGAAGATTTTCACACACGAGTTTTGGTGGAACTACCATCCTCCAGGTTCTGAAAATAAACCTTGTTCCAGTTTATCATATCTTCTAATGGTGCAGTCTTTTGTGCACATCCTTTTTCTGCCCGATTGAATACCCTGCCTCATTATCTGAACAACAAAACAAGCGAGCTGCTGGACTCAGACAAAATGTGATGTGAGGAAAGGGAACGGGATATGACGCTTCAGTCTAAATATTGGTCAATTTTACGAAGAGTCTAAAATCATGCCTACAGTAGACCTATCGGACCACAGTGTTGTGCTTCAACCTCGAGGTTGCCATTACAGACATAAATCATTATTATAAATGAAAGACGCTTCCCTCGACCTGTAACGAGACAATGTGGCGATGTTAAAATGAAGAAAAAACCTTACGGCGGCACTGCTGGTCCGAGGCAGAGATTAGATAACAGGGACGTGAAATGCATATGTGCGTGTCTTGGTAAAAAACATCAATTTATAGAAGAAGATTAGACCTAAGGTCTATATAACCTGCTTGTTTGCACCGCTGGTGAAAAGTAAAAATTATCGTTGTGATTTTTGATTTGGGCTGTGTCCATTTTAGAGTTGGTCACACATTCAGAAAAAGAATCAAGTTTATGTTTTTCTTTTTTTTTTCAAAAAAAAATTATTAATTTTAGAAATCATGTTATTCATAATTTATAGTGGATGGTGCTTGGGGATCATGGTTACCTTGGAGCGTATGTTCTGTATCGTGTGGGGAAGGCACGAGCGTGCGTTCGAGGCTATGTGATCATCCTGCGCCATTACGGGGTGGGGCTGACTGTCAAGGAAACAAAACGCAAGACAAGCCGTGCAGCTTAATGGTTTGCCCTGGTATGTACATATTTAGTTTTCTTGAGATTGTGATGTAAAAGTTGTAAATGCTTCAATAAACTGACAATACGATAATAACGTGCAATTCAATACAGCGCAATTCTCAATATACGGCAATGCAATACAATGTGGTATCATGCAGTACAATACATCGTACAGTAGGGTAGTAGCTGCAATTTGAATTATCCAGATACTTGGGTTTCAACAAAAAATTAATAACGAATAGATAAAACATATGGCGTTTGCTTTTATTTGCTTTACCGCATGTTAGTTCCCTCTACCAAAAGGGATTGCGATATAAGTTATCTGTGTAGACAGCAGATTCAAGAACTGTATATAATTGAATGACTAGACACATACAAACATAGACATGGCAATTATTTATTACTTACCTATCACAGCGTAGAGCACTTACTAACATCAACCAAGTGTTAATATTTATTTGAAATTCCTTTACCGAAATAAGAAAAACGCTAAGTAGTAATGCCATCGTTAACTAATGATAAATAAAAAACAATTGCAAGTTTACTACGAAAATAGTACTTGGGCTTCTCCAAAAAGGCTATCTGACTTTGTGTTGTTGTTGTTGTTGCCCATTCGTTGTATGTTGAGAAAACACTTTTTAGTATTTTGACATATGCAAGGCATTGAAAACTTTTAAACTCGAAAGGCTAAGGGTGCATTCAGAACCAGTTGATCCGCGGACAAGATCAAATATGGCGCGCACGTGAAAATGGATTCCCGCCTCCCACGCCTGCCGCCCCAGCAAGGGCAGAGCAAATTAATCTCGGCACGCTTTCAAGAGTGTGGCGCCATACTAGTTAGTCCGCGGATCAATTGGCTCTGAATGCGCCCGTAGTAGTTCATGTCCATCTATCACCTATATCTTATCGCCTATTACAGTAGACGGCCTGTGGTCAGACTGGACTGCCTGGACATCATGTCCAGTGTCTTGCGGTGGGGGTACTCACATGCGACACAGAAGCTGTATTCATCCCGTACACGGGGGCAAGAAATGTATTGGAAACACAACCGAAGAACAGCCATGCAACGTGCATTACTGTCCCGGTATGGATCGTTCTGTTAACGTTACCCCTCCCTGTGCTGCCACTGTCGTATCGACCATTTGTTCTGTCAGTCTTGCTATGTCGAACAATAACGCTTCCGTGGCACTCGAACGTGGATTTTGGTGTTAGGCCCAAGTAGAAACCAAAGTGTTAGTTGATGCGTATGCCTAGGTTAACCTGTAGTCAATGTTTGAAAGGGAATAGACCCATTTACGATAATGCAACATGACCAAAAAAAAAAAAAAACACGGATCGCAAAAAATCATTCTATATCTTCTTTAGATGTCTCTTATTTGTCGATTATTATTGTGGGGCTATTTTGATTTGGATATGGAAGAAGGTCTAATCTCTCAGGTCGCTTGCTTAGTAATAAAACACTAACCCTAACACAATGTCACCAACACCTACCTCACCTGCAACTATGATGCGTATTCGTTAGGCGATAACATATACTGTTTATATGAGAATCCAAAGGGCAGCAAATTACTTTTTCATTTTTTAATTATTTCGGTTGTTTATCGTTTTTAAAGAAAACAAAAATATGATTCTTCTCAACTATATTAAACCAATTAATTGTATTAAATCAAAAGCGAGCAGAATTGCACCGAGTTACACAAAAAAGGAAATTGAATTTAAATGCACTATACACGTTGCCCTTGGGACGCTTAATGCGCATTACATTTAATCACGTAGCTATTTGTTGTGTGAAATGGCGAATTAGTCACGACCTGTTTCAGTTGAAGGAATGTGGAGAGAGTGGAGCGTTTGGACAAACTGCTCAAAGTCATGCGGAACAGGAAGTCGCACCAGGCACAGGACTTGCGATGAGCCTCTGTATGGTGGAAACGACTGCGCAGGCCCAGATGCAGAGACCGAACTCTGTAACGCGCAACCATGCCCAGGTATTGACAACATGTTATAATTCTTATTTCTCTTATTTACTTAAGTCTGAAGGAAAGAAAGCGCGTTTTTTTTCTTTCTTTCTTTTTTCTTTTTTTTTTTTTTTTTTTTTTTTTTGTTTAAAAACTTTCCAAGTGCTTATTTTTATCATTCACAGCTTCTTAAAAAACCAAACATGCACATTAAAAACAATTTAACCCCTTTTCTAGAATTTTGTGAAGGGCGTATCTGATAATGTTATTTCAATCGGAGCTGAGGAAGATGGTCGCCGGTTATAATGACTGGCAAGTCATTTTAAACTTAATCAACATTCATAAATTCAATTCAAGGTCGAATTCAAGTGCAGAGAGTGATAGATAAATGTTTTTTGAGTACGAGAAAACTGCTTATTTCCCTGGGAAAATCCATTTAGTGGGTAAATCCCAGGGAGTTAACTTTTAATTGTATTACGATCAAAGCTGAATATTTATGTACTACAACTACTTGTAAATTTTAGTCAATGGAGCATGGCAACTTTGGTCGGAGTGGTCTCGGTGTACAAAACCCTGCGGGAACGGGACGAAAACGCGGACCAGAGATTGCAGGGTTCCGTTACATGGCGGCGCAGAGTGTGTCGGAGTATCTATGGAGGCCAGTTTTTGCAACATACAAGAATGTGGAGGTACGTAACCTAGTATATGAATTGCAAGTTATATTTCACGGTGAAAGATACAGCATGCTTAAAGAAATCCATTATTCTTTAAGGCGCTATTCCTATAGGGAATGCCATGAAAATGGAAAGACAGAGGATAGATAATTGGTTTCAAAGATAACTGATAGTATTTATTAAAGAAAAGAAATGAAATATAATATTTTTCATCATTTTGATGTTAATCACATTTAATTACGGGTCCAAGGTGTCAAGAATGAAAAAAGAGTTCCCCGTCCCGCGGGAAATTTTTCCCAAAAAAATGGAGCACTTTTGACTTATGTCAAGAATGCAATACCTTTTAGGTAGGGGCGAGATACTAATTTGAAAAAGGACCCCTCAACCTGTCTCATACCTTCTTGATTACATTTATCTTAGTATTGAGTATGAAGATGGTTTAATATGTTAAAACATATTTGCATAAAGCATATGGTAGAGCATACCACCTTTGAACGTTTGTTGTAACTGTGTTGTATCTTTGTTTACGTGCTTTTGGCTATTGGTCACATACATGTATAAGTGACCAATAGTTTGATCACAATCTTCGTCTCTGCTGCTTGTAGAATAACATAGAATCATAAAAAAAGTATTATTATTTTCTTTTACAACTGTCGTTGTTGTAAATTTAGCGGCGGAACATGGCCATGTTTCCATCGTAATTGATTTAGCCAGAAAGTTCAACCGACGTCACCGGACCGAAGAATAGATTGTGTAGGGATAAACAGCGCGCCGT